GAAAATCTAGTTTCAGAGTTGCTTGCAGTATTTTGCAACATACATGTTGTTTCAGTGTCCCTATTTAATAAATTTTTAGACTTATCTCTGAAATAGCACTTCATATATTTTTCTAAATTGATGAAACATGATAGGAATACCAGCTGTCCTGTTCTCATATCTGTACAGAGGAACTGATCCATGAAAGTATATTAATCAATATCAGAAGGAAATGTTTAATGTTTTCCAACTCTAACACTATATTGATGAGCTTTTACCAGGGAGGGGTCCAAGTTTAAGCCATGACTAATTCTGGCTCCAGGGAATGTGTATTTGTGTGATTTCAGCCTAGTTTTGTCTTTTGCTCTGCAAAAACAGACCAGGCTAACTGTCTGGATTTAAGACAGCCACTGGAACTAGCTGCCCCAATGATTTGTAAAGAAACTTTTCTTGTTTCAGGTAGTCGGGAATCTGCTTTTGTACATGCCATCTCCTCTGCTGGAGTTGTTTTTGCCATCACCAGGGCATGTAGCCAAGGGGAGCTGAAGTCCTGCTCCTGCGACCCCGAGAAGAAAGGCTCTGCCAAGGACAGCAAGGGCCATTTTGACTGGGGTGGCTGCAGTGATAACATCGACTATGGTGTTAAATTTGCCAGAGCATTTGTGGATGCCAAAGAACGGAAAGGAAAAGATGCAAGGGCACTGATGAACCTTCACAACAACAGAGCGGGAAGGAAGGTGGGTGTCCATCCAACAGATGCCTAGATGCTCTTGGAGAGCTCTCACATGTCTGGGGGCGGTAATGGTTTGGCCCCTGCTCTCTGGTCTCAGCAGTTAGGAAGAAATGTGGATGAGCAGGAGCCTGAGCTGCTATTTCTATCTCCTTTGGAGGTTCAGTCTGACAGATATCTCCAAACAGACTAAATTCAACTGCTTAATAGTGCTCCCTTCGGAGTCAGTTCAGTGGCTCCTTGTGTGGAAAGTTGAGCAGGAGTCCAAGTCATTGCAGGATAAGTTTGGATGGAGGTTTCATTTTGAGCCTAATTCTCATATAAGAAGGAGTTTTACTTTTGGTTAATACAGGAGAGGCTGAAGACCACACTGAAGAACAGGCTTGGCTCTTAAAGAGAAAATTCAAAATAGCACTGGGGAAACAAAACGTCCTGTCCGTTCCAGTATGCATATGGTGAACCTCATCAGTAAATGAGCATAGATAAAAGACAATTGCTTCACTTTTTAAGAAAATAAATCCAAAATACCTGTCCCTCCAAAAGGCATTAGTTGGCACTGCCTTGGAGCATGACCTGCTCTAAACAAACCCCTTTTCTAAACATTGTACGAAAATACCATTCCTGTATTTCAACAAAAAAAAAAGTCTTTACTTTTTTATTGTAGGTGAGGAGAAGGAGTAGTTGCTGGTATATTGCCCAGTGCTGGTGCGAGGGCTGAGGAATATGTGCACTAACACATTGTTGTGGTAGCTATAAATAGTAATAGTGCATGGAACTGGAATACACTGTTTAATTATTTAAAACATACTCAAAATTTGCTGCTTCCATGACATCTGAAATAGTACAGAAAAATGTTTTCTGGTGCTAGACCAAATTCTGAAATTATTCATAGAGAATTCTTGTTTCTTATCTTTGGGTTTCCTTGTATGTATGTTCAGTAGGAAGTAAATTGTCCATATCCTGATCTTTTTGTGTTAAAAAGTTCCCTTTATATAGTCTGTAAAATTGTTGTATGATAACTAACCATTATTGAAAGAAATGGTCCAATTTTAATGAATGGTACTGCAAGTAGATGATTTTCCTGATTAATAGCTGTCCTTCAACATCTTTCCTCCACCTGTTTATTGCCAGTGGGTGTAATGTAATATAGACAGATGAGGCTGCTCAGATCAGTGTTATGCACATGCAGTACTGCCAAAAGATGCTGTAGTCTACAACACAAGCAAAGATTTTTTTTAGGGGTGAATAAGCTCCATGATGGGAAGTACTTTCTGTAATAGTTGAATATCTTAGCAAGTTTTTAAAAAATGCGTTTGTTAAATACTAGGGCAGTGTTGGTAAGCAGGTAGAGATTTTAGAAAAGGATCAAGAGACTTTCATAAATATATTTGATTAAAAATAGTGAACACATTCTCATATGCTCTAGGACCTACTTTATGGACAGGGATGCTGGTTTGTATCCACAGTGCAATAGTGTAGGTTTAGCTTTGCAAGGATCTCACCACCTCAGCTGCTCACAAGCCTGGGATCTGGGTCTGGGTAAGACCAGCTGTGCCCTTGGCTTTTTCTCACCCCCAAAGGGGTGTCAGTAGGTTTGTTTTCAAACTAGACTAGTCCAATTGTATTAATTAAAAAAATAAATAGAATAAATATTTATAATATTCCCATACAAATCATACAACATAATACACTGTGTATCAGTATAGGAACATCAGTGACAAAAAAGTCCTGTATTCCTCTGTGCTTCTTCCACTATTCCAGCAAGTTGTTTTAAACATACAAGTAGTTAAACTGATTTCTACTCAGATAATTGAAACCAAGTATCTGTTTAAATCCCAGATTTCTGATAGTACCATTGACAATGAAATTGGGCTATGGGAGTGTCAGTGTCTTCTTTGAAGTAGGCACATAATTTACAAGTTGGAAAGAAAATGAAAAGTATTTTGGTTTTATAATACATTCTCACTTTATTACTAAGTGCTTGACTGAAAAATGCTGCCCCACTGAGCATCAATCTCACTTTTAATCACGGAGCTTTCCTCTCTCTTACCTTCCTCCCATGATGCCATTCCTCTTGTACAAACTCTCATATGTTCATATTTCATGAACCCTTAAGGCATAATATTTATAGATCAAATATCCATATCTTCAGAATTAGGAATTAATTATTCATTGCCTATGAACCCATTGTTGTTCTCCAGCATCATACAGATAGCTTAAATGTCTGAGATGAAGCTGAAATGGCTTTAATGCTATCCAGATGTTAAATTAATGATAAAGGTGGTCTCTCCAGTGCAAGCTAGTGAAGGTCTTATTCTAAAATGTTTGTTAAAAGGTTTATAAGCATTTTAAGTATCCTGTATTTTAAAATTTTGCATAGATCTGATGCCTAGTTCAGGTTAGATGCTTTGCACAATCTCTGTAAAATTATTTAAATATGAAATTACTATGAATTTCTGGGAAATATTTGAAACATTCTTCAGGGCAAAGGGGCAACCTCATGAAGGTGAGCTAGAGAGGGTCATCATAGCGATGCTGCTGCTGGACCGATGGGTAGAGGGGATGCCTTTGCTTCCCGAGGGGCCGAATGATTCTGTGCATTTCCCAGATCGTTTCCTCCTGTCCAGTCTGTGTCCTAGTGCTATGGACCACCTCGATTCTCGGAATGACTGGCAGGAACCGGGAAGGTAAGCCCACCAGCTGGAGGACTGTGTGTAAGGTTGAGTCAAGCAACCTTAGCAGACCAACCACGTGGGGATGACTTGATGCTACCAGTGGGTGTCACTACAGACCGTGATTTGGAGCCCCACCACAGGCCTGGCATTACAAGGATGGATGGAAAAGGCTGAGAAGCATTTAATTACAGTTTGTTTTACCTGTGTATATTTTACTGCATTTCTAAACAGGCCGTGAAGCGTTTTTTGAAACAGGAGTGCAAATGTCACGGTGTGAGTGGATCGTGCACTCTAAGAACCTGTTGGCTGGCCATGGCAGACTTTAGGAAAACAGGAGATTATCTGTGGAAGAAATACAATGGAGCGATTCAGGTGGTCATGAATCAAGATGGCACGGGTTTCACTGTGGCTAATAAGAAATTTAAGAAGCCAACTAAGAATGACCTGGTATACTTTGAAAGCTCTCCAGACTACTGTATCAGGGACAGGGATGTAGGTAAGCCTCTGTCATTACACATGAATGGTTTTATTTCAGACATTTGTTCTTCTATGGTCAAAAACTATCATTATTCTTGAATGTGTGTGTGCATAAATCCATACATGTAACCAGCAGGAGCCAGGCAGGAAGATGTTTTGGAAGGGCAACTTTGTACAAGAGCAATAGTTCCTCGATGTCTCTTAGCCAGATGTTCTAATATAATTCAACAGTTTCTGCCAGATGCTTTGGAGCCCTGGAGGTGCTGCAAGGGGAAAAGCTGCTTTCAGTACAAGTTTGAGTTATGCTCTGGAGGCAGGTCCATACTGTGCACAGCCACACACATACTTGTGTCTCACAGCTCACTCCAGAGCTGCCCCAAGTCCTGTGATGGCCCTGTGATACCACCTCCTGTCTCATTGCTTCTCTTCCATACTGTTATGCTGCTGCTGCAGTGCCCTCCTTTATCTGCACATTCCCTGCAGCTCACTGTGACCGTGGACCCCCAGGTTGTGGACACACCTCTCCCCATCAGTCATGTGGGAGGTACAGAGGCTTGGTGCCAGTCCAGCCATGCTTGCACCAGTCAAGGGAGCTGTGGGTAATGCAGTGCAAGGCAACTAGAGGATGTGCAGGTGGATGAAAGAATAGATGTTGGTGGGGCACAGCACACTGCTTTGAGTGACACAGCTGTTTATTCCTCTTTATGAGACAGCATGGTCTCTTTCCATGATAACCATCACATTTTCTGAAGAATTGTACCAGTCCCAGTGGGAAGAGATAGAGTTTCAGGGCTACTATTAACACTGAATTTTTCTGCTTTCAGCTATTTCAATAGAGACACACTTACAGGACTCAAGGCATTGTCAAGCACCAGGAATCCTGCTAATGGTTCTTGACCCATGCATAGAATTTCCTGATGTGGCAATTAAAAGCTAGCAACTAGAAAACCAGAAATTTGGAAAAGAGAGGCAAACTGAGTAATGTATGAGGGATGTTGTGGAACTAATTAATAGGTTGTATAACGGACCAGATTGCACCCTGTATGACATATCTGTTAGTATCTGGATAGCAATGCAGCTCAGCTCTTTTTGGCACTGCTGCATATTTACAATCCAAGTTTGCTTGGAATAAACATTGCAAAACAACTGTACTTAAATAAGAACAATATGTGAATTCCTAGTCATGTACTATTGACTTCAGTGAACCCAGAATTTCATCCAGTACACTTATGTTGTACAGTGTTTCTGGTTAGTTGATAGTCAAGGTAATTTTAAATGTTACTTATTTTTTTGGCAGGTGATGACTATTGCCTGCACAAGCACATATTGTTCCTTGAATAGTGGCTGATACTGTGAAGTCTAATGCTTTTATCCAGGTGAATAAATGGGCATATTGTGACTGTGCAGAGACTAACTTTGCAGACAAGGATTTATTAAAAATATTTATTTATTTAAGTTGTCTTATTCATTGTAAACCCTGCCATTTATTTTTGCCCAGAAGGACAGCCCATCCATAACCCACTTATCTGTCAAAGGGCCATTTAATAATCTCTTTGTACTAAGCCTAATCTCCTGTCATTCTTGCTATTGTGGAAGAGAGCAGGCATTTTTTACCACACTACATTACGTGTATTTGGCAGATGCTGACAAGCCTGCCCAGAGATGGCAAAGTCTGACATGTGCTTCGGCTCAGCTCAAGATAAGGCTGTGATTGAGGTGGTGTTTCTTTGCTGTGCAGAATTCAGAGAACGTGGCTGTTTGGAAGAGCATATTTTTTTACAAATTGCAGTAAACCTGTGACAGGATGTGGGATGCCTTGCTGCTTGTGTGGAGCAAAGAAAGAATCACCAAACAAACCCTGATCTGCCTTTGAGAGAGATGATTTTGGCAGCTGAACATTTTTGTATTTTTTGGTTTGCCCTGTTGAGCGCTCCAGAGTGTCAGACCTGTTAAATGACTGCAAATGAAACAAAATTGTGGAAGTCTGAGTTTGGAAATAGGTGGGGAGCATCTCAGCGTCAGCTAAATCTAATATGGTTTAGTACGTTCTTGAATACAGTTCTGCCTTTCATTCTTCAGGGAATTCAAGCAATTTAGTGCTTCAGGAAAAAGGAAAAGCATATCTGGAGGTTGGTTAGTACTGGAACTGAATGATTCCCAGAGTAAACCTTATGAAAGCATCATGGCTTGACCAGGAGACAGCATCACAAACTTTAATGTCCAAGCCAGTGTCCTCTGCAGCTTGGGTGTGCTGACACATATGAACCAGTGAATTACGGGTGCCCAGGGGTTTTGCCATCAGCAGCATACCCAGAAAAGAAAGCATATCCCTTGTCTTCTGCCACCAGAGCTTTTCACCCTGTCTCTCCTCCCTCTCGGCGGGCAGGCAAGGGAGGGTGCTGAGGCTGAATACACCCCCTGGGTCTGGCAGTCTGTCTGAGGAGGGCAGCTGGACATACATACATGGAACACCCTTACAATGTGAAAAATGTGGTTGATTGGGGTTTTGTTTTGTGTTTAAAAGAAGGAAAAGAAGAGTAATTGATTTCAGGAGAGATAGAATATGTGGAAATCACTAATAGCAACTCAACGGCAAGAGAACCTGACCACCTCTTGCCTAGCATTAAGATTTCATGAAGGACCAAAGGAAGATTTTCAGAAGTGTTCAGAATTCACTTAGCTCTGCTCACATGTATCCTGAAATAGAGAAGTAGGACATCCTAGAGGACTTTGAAAAATCTTGTCATGAACATACACGTCATGCCATGCTTTGTGTGTCTTTCTTATATTATAAATTTCCAGTTCCCAAACCCAAGCACACCCAGGACTTCACAGGGAAAGACCTTTAAGGAATGATAGAGCTGTGACAGAAGTAAAGTGACAGCTGCACAGGTGGCAGTCCTGCTTTTGCACATACTACCTTACCTTGAATGTGCTACTTCACCCCCCAAATGCTCCAAAAACCCTTCTTGCTTGTCTGCTTATGAGCTTCTATTTTAAGCATTTCAAGTTTTAAAGGGTTGCTATTTGCCCATCCAAGCAGGCTATGTTGATTGAAAGCTGTTGCAAGTTTAGCATGTTTGGAGTGTACTGGTGAACAAGCAGAGGTTGCTTTAGGAAAAAGCACATGAGCAGCCATAGCATGAGCATCACCATCTTGCTGGCCTGGCCTTCATTAGAGCCTGTTTTTCATTGACACTGTTAAGCCACTGTAGTGTTTTCCTGCAACATGAAATGTTTTAGAACGGGTTTATTAAAACTTCATTTATACAGTGTAACAAAAAAGCTGTAGGCAGTGTTTGAGTGAAGACTCTTTCTATCAGGAGACCCCCCACCAAAGTGTGTAGAGCAAGCTGAGCTCAACTATGTGTGTTGAGGTGGTGTGTATGAGCAGGGAGGTTGTGTTCCCAAGTGTGGGCATCAAGGTGGAGGTGGTGGGCAAAGGCAGGATGGGGTTGTTGAGTGTGTGTTGATTGCTCACAATTGATCTGGCAGCAGCGAGGCAGTGAGGTAGCAGTGAGGTGGTGGAGCAGAGACAGGGCATGTCTCCATGCTTCAGGTCGTCCATCAGATTCTCCCAACACTCATGTGGTCCCACCATCAAAGCCAGTGTCACGACCTCTGCCTGTGCGTGGGGGTCACATACCTGGAGTGGGGTGGCCATCTCCTGTGTCCCCACAGGCAGACAGGGTGCTGCAGCTGTGTTTGAAGACCCTCCACACCTGGTCTCCTGGTGGAAAGCCCTGTGGAGAGGCATGTGCAGTGCTCCAGGCAGCCCCGTGGAGCTGTGCATTGGATGACAAACCATATGCTCAGCGTGACCTGCTTTGCATCCTCTGCAGGATTGGTTTTGTAAATTTATTCCCCTTGCTGCCCCATGTAAGCCATTTGCTGCTTTTTTGAGATGAATGAGGCCAAGTCCAGAGTGTAGTCTGGAATTTAAAGTGTAGCCTGTGAGTCCTGGTGTTTTGCTAGATGTGTTAGTGCTTGAGGTATGTAACCCATGGAGGGAAACCAGTCCTGATCTGTGTCAGAAACTTCTCACTGAGCTTGGCTGCACACAGGCAATCCCCATGTGACTTTTGGCCTGCACCTCCCAGTTTGCACACTGCAAACGTGTTGGTTGCAGTCCCAGCCCCATGCAGGCTGACCAGTGGAGCTCGAGATGACTTCCATCAGGGCAGCTCTCACTCAGCTAAGCACCATCTGGTAAGGGAGCAGCACCATTGCCCCGAGAGCCTCTGGGAGCTGAGAGGTTATGAAGGCTCTCTGTGGCTATGGAAGTTAGAACGAAACGTTTATTTGAAACTGAATCCAGATTAGCTGCTTTTATCAATGCATTGCAGTCTCTGCATTACTGGCCTGGGAAGTCCCAACCCCTTCAGACAAGGCTGCCTGTTCTCTCCAGCCCTGTTGTACTGAGTGTTGTACATAGGCTTCAATAGCTTCAAAGCTACTTTTCTGTGAATATTTCCGTTAATTTTTTTTCCAAAACACTGTAAGGAAACTATTGTTAGACATTTCACTGGTTTTTGTTTTTTCGCAATATGAATGTTATGGATTTACACCAGATTTTTAATCAGTAGAAGGGAAAATCTTGCATTATAAAGGAATAAGTACATTTTAGAGCTTTAAGAATAGGGAAAAATATTTTTCAGCCTAGTATATGTTTGCTTAAGAAAACAGCTGTGCAAACCAAGAAGAAAGGGTTTGATGTACAGGTCATAAAGTTGACAGTGTTAAAAGCTGTGGATGTTTTGGCAGGTATAATGTGTGTAGGCATGGCAATTCCAACACTTGAAATGAAAACAAAGAAGTTGCATGAAAACGTTTTACAAGTTAGAACATACCCCTGCCTCTTAAGTGCTGAGGAGGTGCATTGCAGGTAGCAGGCAAAGATCAGAAGCCTCTGTCTTATTTTGTGCAGTGTTTTCTGCTCTCTTAATCACCCAGGGGCCTGCCAAGGAGCACAGTAACTTGCCTGGCTCCTCACTGCTGCTTATTGCTCATTTTCGTTCTCACTAGAGAAGCAGCAGAGATGCTGAAGATCCTGTTTGAACTTTTAAAAAATGTTGGTTCTGCTCAGAAACTAAGCTTTTATATGAGTCTGTTTTCACTCTTGTCACATCCTGTGGATGATTTAGTATCCTGTCCTAGTGGTGTAGTAAATGTTGATGCTGTGTTGTGTGCAGCATCAGATGATACCAGCTCCTGACTGTTAGTGGCTGAAATCGTTTTGGTTTTGAAGTTGGTGGCAAAAGTCTGGTTGAAAGCAGCAGGTGCATCCCACTCAGGTTCTGTGCAATTTCCCCAGACATCTGGAAATAGAACTTTCAAGTTGAAACTAATCGATGCCTCAGCTGAGGAATGTGGTCAAACCTTCTGAGGGCAGCTCCTGATGGTCGTGGGAGGACATGGGATCTTCCTTCACCCCCAAGCAGCCAGGTGGCATGACCCCACTCTGCTCCTGGTTGAGAGGTGTGCTGCAGTGGAGAGAGACTTTGCTTTATCTCCCCTTGTCACAGAATAGTAATCATATGAGTTGCAAGCTTGGCCTTTGTGGGTTTCTTGGTGGGGGTTTTTTTAGTTTTTTTTTTGTGTTGTTTTTGTTTGGTTTTTTTTTGTCTGAGCGGAGAGGGCAGGACAAGTGCCTATAAAAGCTCTTTGGTTGTATTCTGCCCTGGGACGTGATGCATAGTGCCATGGGCTGTCACATACATTCAGGTGTCCCAGCTGTTTGCACAGCATCATGAATGGAGCAGAGCATGGTGGCTGGGAAGCAGGGTCTGGTTTGTCTTCTGCCACAGGCTTCCTGCAGGACCACAGGTTCATCACATGGCTCTGCATCCTCCTGACTTCTCAGCCCTGCCTAGACTAGGGGCACTAGGGGCCACTGGAAGTGTCTCTTCCCTCTCTGTGGAGTGCTTCCTGGAAAAAGGATCTGGGAAATGCCTTTTGGCATCACTGCTTTTTGCCTGTTATGCCAGTTGCCCCAGCACAGCTGGGCTTGCAGGAAGAGCTGCATGGCTGAGGACTTAGTGGGAGTGGTATGTGCCTGTATGGGTCACCTGGTAGTACCTCTGCTCCTCCTCTCCAGGTCCTCCTGCAGGGGATCCAGGTGCTGGCACAGGCTGCAGGGACAGTGAGCTGGGAGTTACTGCTGATTCCCTTGTGCAGGGTGTGCCTGATGCAATACATCACTGATTTTTGCATCAAACTGAGATGCTCTCACAAATATCAGAGGCTTACTTTGAAGTGCTGCTCAGCTGCCTTCCCAAGATGCTATGCAGAGTGTTGGTCCATGGGCAGCAGCACAGAAAGGCTCAGACCCTGAGTTGATTTGGGATTTATCAGGCTGCAGGTGCAGGAGCCCATCTCTGGCTCCATTCAACATATCTTCTCCTGCCTCTTCCCTCTTGGGTGGCTCAGCACATCTCCACTTGGCCAGCACAGCAGCACCTTGCAGCTCAGGACCCCTGAGCTGGGGCTGGTGTCTCTGCTGTTGGCAGTAGCAGAGAGTGGCTCCTGGGGTGGGCAGCTGGGGCAGCCATGGGCACCTGCTGAGCCTGGGGCAGGTGGCCACATGACACCCTTCTGCTCTGCCTGCAGCAGACCTGAACCAGCCATTTGATAGTGAAGCTTTCCAGGTGTATATTTCTACTCAATGAATATTTAAATATTTAAATAAATACAGGAATCTAGGCTATGGGAGAGAGGAGTGAGGTGATCTAGGGACTGAAACACTTCTCTGTGGCAGAAGTTGAAACCCGTCTTGACTTAGATGTGAAAAGAGCAAAATTTCCACCCCCATGGCTGAGGGGCTGAATCATGTGTCACAGTCAGAGAAGGTGACTTTGCTCTCCAGTCCCTGAGAGCTCTCACTGCATCCATAGCTTGGGGCCAGCCCTAAATAGCATGAAATCTTCAGATTGGCGGTGATAATCTGTCAGCAACTGTGGTATTGATCCTAAAATGTACCCTAAAATCAGTTTGTGTTACATGAGCAGCACCTCCTGTGTGGTACAGTCACTGATCAGGCTAAGATATGCCTTAACAGAACCATTTTGTGCCACATGGAGATGGGCAGAAGCATTTCAGCCACTCCTGAGAGTTTTAAGGACATGATGAGGTGTGGTATGCTTCCATCCTCCTCCTCCTGTCAACAGCATTCTAGAATTTAGTTTCTTCTAATCTCTATCATGAAAGAGGAGAAGAACCCTTGGTGCTTATCTCACAGATATGAAAGGTGCACAGAGCAAACCTTCTTCACCTGCCACCTGAATGGGTGGACATGGGGGTCGTGGGTAGGCACAGCAGCAATGCCAAGTGCTTCTGCACTCACTTCTGCAAGATTGATCACCACCAGCACAGTTACTTTGCCCATTGTGTCTCTTGCAGCCACCAAAATTTGTGGTCTCCTCTTTCCTAGACCTCCCCTGCCCATCTAGAGCTCCCCTGCAAAGCCCATGAACTCCTGAGCACCACAGGGATGCTCCTCCTGGGCTCCCCATTTCACACAGCCCTGGGGGACTAGGCACTGCACGGCTGCCTTGGGGAGGGTGTCTGCTCTCAAGAGAAGATGAAGGTG